TTTAATGCTTACTGAGTGAAAACAGATATGAATTCAAATGCAAGCCCCATCACCAACTAAGTATATAACCTTATACAAGTTTTATTTTCTACTTGTTTGGTTTAGTAAAGAAATATAAGAGAACATTCTCTTAGCAATTGATTAAGCAGTGTAAAAGTGTGCAGAGTGAAATGTGTCCCCCCTATCCTTTGTCCTCAACCAAAAAGCACAAAATCTTTTTCAGAGGTACTGTTATGTTTAACCTCCCTAGTCTTTTATGAATTTATGAAAATATTTGGACATAAACACAATAGAATTTTTAAAACATAGATGGGATTATGTTACACTTACAAGTGTCTTGAACAACTTTGCGTGCTAGTTGGTATATATAATGGCTATGTAAGATTTTGTAGTATAAATGCTCCATAGTTAACTGATTTCTGATTGATAAACATTGACTTTTTTCCCTAAATTATGCTGTTACAAATATTGCTGAGATTAACACTTACACATCTGTGTTTTCAGGCACATGCATGAATATTTTGTATATTTTGCAAGATAGGTTACGAGAGGAGGTGAAATTGCTCTGTGAAAGAGTATCTGCGTGTAAAATTGCAAATAATTTATCACCTTGCCTTTGAAATTGCTCATTGCAGCTTTACACCTTTGATGATGATTAGCACAGGGCCCACATGGACTCCTGCACATACAGAGGGTTGTGATACAGGAAAGGAACACCAAGCTCGGGGAGTTAATCATTTTTATTGTAATTCGAAATAAGCCTGCTTATTTTCCACGGGGAGACACTACATCCCTCAGGGTTGCTTGCTGCAAACACAGCCCTGAGAAATGGCCTGGGTAAAAAGCAGCCAGGGCCTTGCCTTGTTGGTACACCCTGCAAGGGCGTGCAGGGGTGCTCAGGACCCCGGCAGATTGTCTCTCCCAGTGTCAGTGTTTCTTCTGTAGATGCAGTCAGTGGTGTGAGCTGGAAGCATGTGGGCTATTTTTGTCACTTCTCCTTTATTCATTTCATCACCAAGTCCTGTAAATTTTATCTCCTAAATATTTTTCAAGTAATTCTACTACTTTCTTCTCCTACTGTCACCTCCCCAGTCTGTTATCTTCTACTAGCACTCTTAACTTCGGTAAGGTGATTCTCGCGTCCGCTCGTGCGTTCTTCCAGTCTGTTCTTCCACCCTCCAGCCGAGAGCGATCTTTTAAAAATACAGATGTAGTCACAGATGCTACCTGGTTCATATGAAGCATTTTATTGATTTTCTGTTGTTCTTAGCATAGGTATCAAAGTGTTTAACACTGCGAGCAAGAAATTTTCATGGTCCGATTATTGCTTTATAGTCACGTCTTTGCACCACTTTCTTCCTTGGTCTCTCTGCAAGGCAAGTATACTGGCTGTCTTTTAGTTCCTTAAATATATGCCCACCTCTTATTGGGCCTTTAAGCATATTGTCATCTCCCCTGCCTATTTGTTTAGTTAATTAGTAGTCTTTTAGATTTTATATCTGATACTTTTTACCGCTTCTATTGCTACAGTGCTTGTCAAAGCCACTATGATCTTCCTCATGGATGATAGCTACATAATTGGTCACTGTGTCCATTCTTTTAAAGTTCCTCCTTCACATAGCAGCCAGAGTGGTCATTCTAAAGCATAAAACATCATGTTTCCTGAACTGAGTCTGAATGAGATCTAGCTAGCTTTACCTGGATTATATAACCCCATTCATTTTATTCATTCAACCGATATTAGTTGAACATCTGCTGTGTGTTGCACACTGCATAGGCATGGGGAATATGGTAGGGTAGAGACACAAGCTTCTGCCTTCCTAGAGCTTATATTCTGATGGGAAGAGACAGACAAGACACACAAACAGAAGTAAAATAAGTAGGAGGTGGGGGTTTGTAAGTTTAAATAGAATGTCAGGGATGATCTCACAAAAAAAAGTGACATTTGGATCCATGACCTGTAATTGGTGAGAGAGTGAGCCGTGCACATATTTGGGGGAAGTGGTCTCCAGGCAAAGGGGCAACAAATGTGAAGGCTTTGGGGCCAGAGGATGCCTTGTGTATTTGAGGAACAACCGGGAGGCCCAGTGACTGGAACAGTGAGAAGGGAGCGAACAGGAGATGAGATCAGGAAGGAAATGGAAGGTCAGGTTGTTTCTGGTCTTGCAGACTAAAGTTTTGACTTTTATTCGGAGTCAGATTGAAAGTCTCTGGAGGATTTTAGTGATAGGATCTAAACAATTATAAAAGGACCACTGGCTGCTGTGTTGAGCATTGACTTAGAGGGGAGGAGGCAGACATAATTAGGGAGAAGCCATAGGAGGGTAAGGTAATAATGTAGTGATAAATGATGATACCATAGTGGCAGGAACGGAGGTTTAAAAAGTGGTCAGGTTTTGGATGTATTTTCCAGGTAGAACTGATAGCACTTGCATTTTGCTTACAGGATGTGAGGGAGATAGCAGAGACAGTTAGGGTTTTTGTTCTGAGGCAACTGGACTGATGGATGTGCCATTTACTCAAATGACGAAAGCTATAGAGGAGCGGGTTTAGGAGGATGTGCTGTTCAGTGTGTAGTACTTACTAGGAGTAGACATGCAGGTAGAGTTGTTAAGTAAACAGTTGAATACTGGAACCTGGAGTTCAGGGGAGGGGTCTGGGCTGCACATAGACGTTTGGAGTTGTCAGTGTATGTATAAATAACTGTGTGTTATATATAATGCATTATTATGTATATTGTATACGTACATACATACACACACGTGTATATATGTGATTACTGAGGGAGTGACTGCAGATAAAGCCCCGATCCCTCCCACTTCAGAGGCGGTGGAATGAGGAATACCAGCAGAAAAACCCTGAGACAGGTTTTTATGGAATGCTGCTGCGTACCTGTCTGACTTGATTTCCTTCCATTTTCTGCTCTTTCTCCAGACTCCAGTCACACTGGTGTCCTGTCTATTGAATTTGCTAAACTTGTTGCCGTCTTAGGACCTTGGCACTTGCTTCTCCTACTTGGGAAACACTTTCCTAAATCCTTTCGTGTCTGCTTTCCTCTTGTCTTTTAGGTCTCAGCTCAAAAGTGAGCTCCTCAGAGGCCTTCCTTGATGACCTTTGCTCACAAAATGTTACACTTTGTTTACTTAGGGAAAATGATTCCTTTCTTTTTTTAAACTCTGCTGAATCTATGTATTTTTAAAATTCCTGATTATAAATATATATACATATTTTAAAAACTTTAAAGTATATAATTACTCATAATTACTCATGAAAAGTATATAGCTTGATGAATTTTCACAAACTAAAGTCACCCAGAAGAATGAACTGTAGGCTGGAAGCCCCTCTTGTTGCCTGTTTTCAGTCACTGCTTCCTTTCCCCATAGGGATGATCACTGTCCTGAGTTAACACATTAGGTTAGTTCCAGCTGTTGCTGTGTACTCTTTTGTATCTGGCTTCTTTTGCTCAAGAGTGTACTTGAGTATGTAGTTCTGGTTCACTCATTCTCATTAGTTTTTGGTTTATATAGCTTGAGTTTATATTAGATGGTACCTATAGAATTGTCAATATTATCTTTAAATCCCTAGATTTGTTTTTTTGGAAGTAAGTTGAAGTCAGTAGTGTGAGTCCTTCAACTTTGTTCTTCTTCAGTATTATGTTGGCTATTCCAGCCAGGTCTTTTGCCTTTTCACATGATAGTTCCTTTGCTATTCCATGTAAATTTTAGAAAATTTTAGAAATAGCTTATCTATTATTTAAAGAAAAAAAAGCATACTGGAATTTTCATTGGGAGTATGTTATAGTCTGTAAATCTGTTTGGGAGAATTGACATCATAACAATAATGAGTCTTCCAATTCATGAACATGGTATGTCTTTCCGTTTGTATAGGATTTCTTTCATAAATATTTTGTAATCTTTAGCAAACAAAATTTGTACATATTTTGTGAGACTTACACTTAAGTATTTTATGTATTTGGCACTAATATAAACTACCAAATTAAAAAAAATTCGGTTTACATTTGTTTGTTGTTAGCATACAGAAATACAGTTGCAGTTAAACTTGCTATATTGACCTTGTGTTCTATGATTTTGTTAAAGTCATTTGCTTTATTAATTTTTTAAAAAAGATTTTTTAGAATGTTGTATATAGGCAATCAAGTCAGCTGTGAATAGATACAGTTTTATTTCTTCCTTCACAATTTGTGTGCCTTTTATATCTTTTTCTTACTTAGTGTTCTGTCTAGGACTTTCAGTATGATGTTGAATAAGAATGATGAGAGCAGACATTCTTCGCCTTGTCCTTGATGATAGGAGCAGGACATTAGGAACAAAACAGCAGTTCAGTGTTTCCTCATTATGCGTTCTGCTAGCTGTGTGTGTTTTTGCAAATGCCCTTCATTGGGTTGAAGAATTTTCCTTCTATCCCTAATGCTGAGTCATTCTTAAAATAATGAATGGATATTAGATTTTGTCAAGTTTTTTTTTTCTCTATCTGTTGAGAAAAATTCCATGGTTTTCTTTTAGGTTGTTGATTTAGTGAATTATATTGATTGATTTTTCAAGTCTTTTTTTAAAAAAATTAAGCATCAATTAACAAGTCTTAATTTTTTTGACTATTGCTTATTAAATTGCACATCTGTCTGTCTTTTTTTTTATTTAGTATAGCTTTTCTCCATGACTCTTAATCACTACCATACAGGAGACTGTATGTTCTACTTATTTATTTGCATGTTTTATCTTTTCATTGGAGTATTTTGTTCCATGTTTTGTTCTCTGCTATATCTCCAGCCCTGAGAACATTGTAACAAAGTAGGATTCTGTAAATATGTGTTGAATGAGGATATCTGCTGTCCAAGGAGTTCATAATCTAGGAGGGGAGGAAGAGGTACATGAATAAAAGGTGATACATCTTAGGAGAACTATCAGCAGAAGTCTTTGAGAGCTCATGATGGGAGAGATCTTAAGTTCATGTAACAGATTTCTTTTCCTTTTTCCTATCAGATTTGAAAGAAGAAACATCTAGGAAGAATTTATTTAGTGATGCAGAATATAAGAAGAATTCAATAAAAATGTGGTTTAGTCCTCGAAGTAAGAAGGTCAGGTATGTTGTGAGTAAAGTTTCAGTGCAAACCCGTCCTCCTGTGATAAACAGTCAAACTGCTCAGCAGGCCTCCATGTATGAGTTTGTCTCTCCAAGCCCTCCGGTGGATGTTTCTGAGAGGGCTAAGAAGCCTTCCAGAAGATCTGGAAAAAAGCAGAAAAAGAAAACTTTAGCTGAAATCAACCAGAAGTGGAATTTAGAGACAGGGAAGGAAGATGGTGAACTTGCCTCCAAAGAGGAATTTAAGGAAAAGCTGGTATCCTTCTGTAGCCAGCCGTCTGTCATTGCTAGTCCTCAGACAAACGGTGAAATAGACTTACTAGCGAGTGGCTCCCCTGCAGAATCTGAGTGTTTTGGAAGTTTAACTGAAGTCTTTTTACCATTGGCTGAGCACATTGAGTCTCCAGAAACTGAGAGCAGGAATGAAGTAGTGACTCCTGAGAAGACTCTCTGTGAAAATCATCTTACAGCTGAGAAGTCCTTGCCATCAGGTCACAGTGGGAAACGTGGGCGTCACAACAGACTTTTCAGTCCTGTTTCTAAGAAATGTAGGAACAGCGTTGTGAGCACCAGTGGAAATTCTGTTAAGGAAACGGCACAGTCAGAAAACATGCCATTACCCGGATGTTCTTCACCACCTTCAAACAAACTGAAAGTTGGTGACACATTAAGGAGGAAGAGCAGTAATATATTAGATGAATCTTTTAGCCTTTCACCAGGTACGCCCCCTTCTACACTGAATAGTCCAAGTTACAGACGAATGATGTGTAGCCCCTCAGCAACGAAGCTGTCGCACAGTAGCCTTACAGCTGGGAAAAGAAATCACAGAGGAGAGACTTTGCTCCATGTTGCTTCCATTAAGGTAGGATGCTTACTCTGAAATACAGCTTTGGAATGAGACCCAGTATAGAATGATTTCTGTGGAGTTTGTGAAAAATGATGTAAGATTACTAGGATGATTGACCTAACCAGATGTGATACTTCCTCTGAACCAGAGAAGCAAAAATTCATAGAGACTGTATCCCTACCTCGGTTAGAGCAGTGGCTCCCTGGGCCTGAGGAGCACGATCTTGCAGAAGAAAACCCATATATCAGGATTTCAGCTTCAGCTTTGCCTAGTGCTTTCATTTTTGTCTATTCCATAATGGTTTTTGCTCAGTTTTCACCATTTTGTGTACCCATTCTTCTCATGCTTTATGAATGTAGATGGACAGTTGCCAAGTGCTGCTGGCAACAAGTCTTTACCTCGCTTAAGAGCTAGGGGGTGACGTGAGAGGTGACAAGTGTCTGTATGGTTGACACTGCTCGTGGGCACCGCCAGACTCTAGAAGGTTAAAAGATGTGGTCTGTACATTTCTCCAATAACCTGGAAATTTGACTGTCAGAAATGGCTCCTATGGTTCACCACAAAGGGGCTTCTCTGGGCCTCTCCGCCAGCCATTCCTTTTACTAGCCTGTCCATTGAGTTAACGCTCCTTATTTTTTGACTCTATACCTGCGATGTGGCAGTGTTTGTTTTTTGGAACCTGGCTCACTTGCTGAGTGTGAGATGTACTTGCAGTGGTTAAACTGACACACGTGCTGCACGTAGTGGGCAGCAGCTAGCACCGTAGCTTTATAGCCTTTGGTCTGTGAATTCATGCAAGTGTTGTGAAAATATCACGTGGGAGAGCTGAGTACTAAATTAGGACAGCTTTTAGGGTCTTTCTGGGAAGTCTGTGGGTCTTTTGCATGGATAGAGAACTTTGGGAGATCCAGAAAAGACCTCTTGGAGGCCCTTGAACATAGAGCTGGCGAGCAACATAAAACTGGGAAGAACGTGGGGTAGGCAGGGAGTCCAGGGGTTCCTGCGTTTTTCTGTGGAGAGAGGGAAAAGCACAAAAGTGAGTTTCTTCCAACTCTTTTCTTCTTCTTCTTCTTTATCTTCCAATAACTGATGAATGTAGAATACATCTGATGCTAGTGAGGGGATGACCAGCAACATGACTACTTTCTCAGCATTCAGTAGCCTTTGAACAACTTGAATTTTTGGAGTTGGCTCTGGTTATGTTTTAGTCTGATATTTGCAAAGCATGAGTTTAAATATCAGACTGTATTTTTTGTCCTCTTTGTTTTATTTTTATATATATACGTGTGTATTATGTATATAATATGTAAAGTATAATAACCTTAACATTATAATGTTACTAATGCTTCATAGACATAAGTAGCTAGCATAATAGTAAATATTTTTGTTCATTTTTCTGACATACATGAATGTAGACTGCTTTAGTTTCTACATTTTGCTTTCTGGGAATTATTTTTAGATCACGAGGTAACCAGTTATATTGGTGAGAATTTTCCTTCAATCGTAAGAATAATTTATCTTTATTAGTGAGGATCCCTAGGACCTAGAGTCTAGGCCATGGTTTGGCAAACTCTTTCTTAAAGGGGCAATGAGAGTAAATACTTTCAGCTTTATATGACATATAGTCTTAACTATTCAACTCTGTTTTCTTCGTGCAAAAGTAACCGTAGACAATGTGTAAACCAAAAAAACCTTACACACAAAATCATGTGTTGGACCTACAGGCCATAGTTTACTTATCCTTGGCCTAGGCTGTGGACAAAAGCCCAGTGGACTCTGAAGACAGGAAAAAATGGTGGCATAATGCCATCTTGGTGAATTTTCTCCATTGATGTGTTCAAGATGGCGTCAATACAAGTTTTGTCAGGTTGTCATTTTACTTAGAAAGTGTCTTGCCAGAATTAGAATTACTCATTTTGATTCCCTTGAACTTATAAAATACTATATTGGCATTAGTTGGCAGATTCTGATATAGTACATTTAAGGAAAGTTAATTGATTTCTATTGTTTTTTAAATGCCTATTTAACGATAGTGTTCTCTTTTAAAAATTTATTGTAAGTTGAATGCATGCTCACATCTCAGCTTGATTTTAATAGTCAAAACAAATACTTGAAGCAAAACCAAAGGATTTATCAGTATATTTATCTTTTTATAAATGGTATTCATTTTATTTTCTATCTTGGTTTTTTTCACTTGCAGCTGAGAATGAATAATCTGTGTATACTTGAAAACCAAATGTTGCGATCCTACTGTCTTATTTATGTTTTGTACCCACCTACTTCAGGAAAGGATTTGAGGTGGCTCTAAAGTTAAAACTACAGTTGACCCTTGAACAAGGTGGGGTTTAAGGGTGCTGACCTCCCCACAGTTGAAATCTGCGTATAACTTGACTCTTTAAAAAGTTAGCTACTAATAGCTTACTATTGACTGGAAACCTTAACTAGTAATATAAACAGCCGATTAAGACATATTTCATATGTTATATGTATTGTACACTGTATTCTTACAATAAAGTAAGCTAGAGACAAAGTGTTCAGAAAATTATAAAGAGGAGAAAATGCATTTATAGTACTATACTAGGGGAAGGATATAAGTCAAGCGCTAGAGCACAAGCTTAGCATGCGCGAGGTCCTGGGTTCAATCCCCAGTACCTCCTCAAAAAATAAATAAATCAGTCTAATCCACCCCCACCCCCTGCAAAAAAAGGTGTAGTCCTGTACTGTATTTATAGATACTGTGTGTTTACATCATCTGTTTATAAGATGACTTGTCTGTCAGTACGTACCTGTGTATTGTCTTACATGATACAAAACACTGT